GGGTCCCTGTAGGTCCAGGGAGGTCCCTATAGAGTAGGGGGTCCCTATGGGGTCCCCTATAGGTCCAGGGGGGTCCCTATAGAGCAGGGGGTCCCTATGGGGTCCCTGTAGGTCCGGGGGTCCCTAGAGCAGGGGGTCCCTATGGGGTCCCTATAGGGTCGGGGGGGTCCCTGTAGAGCAGGGGGTCCCTATGGGGTCCCCTATAGGGTCGGGGGTCCCCTATAGGTCCAGTGGGGTCCCTATGGGGTCCCTATAGGGTCGGGGGGGTCTTCTCTAGGGTCGGGGGTCCCTAGGGGGTCCCCATAGGTCAGGGGGTCCCTGTAGAGCAGGGGTCCCTATGGGGTCCCTGTGGGTCCAGGGGGTCCCTATAGGTCAGGGGGTCCCTATAGGGTCAGGGGGTCCCTATGGGGTCCCCAGTAGGGTCGGGGGGTTCCCTATGGAGCTGGGGGTCCCTATGGGGTCCCTATGAGGTCTCTATAGGGCTGGAGGGTCCCTGAGCTGTTCTATGGGGTCCCTATAGGGTCAGGGGGTCCCTATAGGGCCGGAGGTCCCTATGGGGTCCCCTATAGGGTCGGGGGGCCCTATGGGGTCCCTGTAGGTCCAGGGGGGTCCCCTATAGGGTCGGGGGGGTCTTCTCTAGGGTCGGGGGTCTCTATGGGGTCCCTATGGGGTCAGGGAGGTCCCTGTAGAGCAGGGGGTCCCTATGGGGTCCCTGTGGGTCCAGGGGGGTCCCTATAGGGTCGGGGGGTTCCTATAGGGTCAGGGGGTCCCTATGGGGTCCCCAGTAGGGTCGGGGGGTTCCCTATGGAGCTGGGGGTCCCTATGGGGTCTCTATAGGGCTGGAGGGTCCCTGAGCTGTTCTATGGGGTCCCTGTAGGGCCGGGGGTCCCTACGGGGTCCCCTATAGGGTCGGGGGGGGTCCCCATAGGTCCCTGTAGGTCCAGGGGGGTCCCTGTAGGTCCAGGGGGGTCCCTATGGGTCCCTATAGGTCCAGGGGTCCCTGAGAGCAGGGGGTCCCTATGGGGTCCCCTATAGGTCCAGGGGGGTCCCTATAGGTCCAAGGGGGTCCCTTTAGGTTCCTGTAGGGTCGGGGGGGGTCCCTGTGGGGTCCCTGTAGGTCCGGGGGTGTCCCTATAGAGCAGGGGGTCCCTATGGGGTCCCCTATAGGGCAGGGGGGTCCCTGTAGGTCCAGGGGGGGTCCTTGTAGGTCCCTATAGATCCAGGGGGGTTCCTGTAGAGCAGGGGGTCCCTATGGGGTCCCCTATAGGGCAGGGGGGGTCCCCATAGATCCGGGGGGTCCCTGTAGGTCCCTGTGGGTCCAGAGGGGTCCCTGTAGAGCAGGGGGTCTCTATGGGGTCCCCTGTAGGGTCAGGGGGTCCCTGTAGGTCCCTGTAGGTCCGAGGGGTCCCCAGTAGGGTCGGGGGGGTCCCTGTAGGTCCGGGGGGGTTCCTATAGGGCAGGGGGTCCCTATGGGGTCCCTGTAGGTCCGGGGGGGTTCCTATAGGGCAGGGGGTCCTATGGGGTCCCTATAGGGTCAGGGGGTCCTATGGGGTCCCTGTAGGTCCCTGTAGGTCCCTGTAGGTCCAGGGGGGGGTCCCTTTAGGTCCGGGGGGGTCCCTACAGATCGGGGGGGTCCCTGTAGGTTCCTGTAGGGTCGGGGGGCCCTATGGGGTCCCTGTAGAGCAGGGGGGGGTCCCTGTAGGTCCAGGGGGGTCCCTACAGATCTGGGGGTGTCCCTGTAGAGCAGGGGGTCCCTATGGGGTCCCCTATAGGGTCAGGGGGCCCTATGGGGTCCCTGTAGGTCCAGGGAGGTCCCTATAGAGTAGGGGGTCCCTATGGGGTCCCCTATAGGTCCAGGGGGGTCCCTATAGAGCAGGGGGTCCCTATGGGGTCCCCTGTAGGTCCGGGGGGGTCCCTGTAGAGCAGGGGGTCCCTATGGGGTCCCTATAGGGTCGGGGGGGTCCCTGTAGAGCAGGGGGTCCCTATGGGGTCCCCTATAGGGTCGGGGGTCCCCTATAGGTCCAGTGGGGTCCTATGGGGTCCCTATAGGGTCGGGGGTCTTCTATAGGTCAGGGGGTCCCTAGGGGTCCCTATAGGTCAGGGGGTCCCTGTAGAGCAGGGGGTCCCTATGGGGTCCCTGTGGGTCCAGGGGGGTCCCTATAGGTCGGGGGGTTCCTATAGGGTCAGGGGGTCCCTATGGGGTCCCCAGTAGGGTCGGGGGGTTCCCTATGGAGCTGGGGGTCCCTATGGGGTCTCTATAGGGCTGGAGGGTCCCTGAGCTGTTCTAGTGGGGTCCCTGTAGGGCCGGGGGTCCCACGGGGTCCCCTATAGGTCGGGGGTCCCCATAGGTCCCTGTAGGTCCAGGGGGGTCCCTGTAGGTCCAGGGGGGTCCCTATAGGTCCCTATAGGTCCGGGGGGGTCCCTGTAGAGCAGGGGGGTCCCTATGGGGTCCCCTATAGGTCCAGGGGGGTCCCTATAGGTCCAAGGGGGTCCCTTTAGGTTCCTGTAGGGTCGGGGGGGTCCCTGTGGGGTCCCTGTAGGTCCGGGGGTGTCCCTATAGAGCAGGGGGTCCCTATGGGGTCCCCTATAGGGCAGGGGGGTCCCTGTAGGTCCAGGGGGGGTCCTTGTAGGTCCCTATAGATCCAGGGGGGTCCCTGTAGAGCTGGGGGTCCCTGTAGGTCCCTGTAGGTCCAGGGGGGTCCCTACAGAGTTGGGGGTCCCTATGGGGTCCTCTATAGGGTCGGAGGGTCCCTATAGAGCAGGGGGTCCCTATGGGGTCCCCTATAGATCTGAGGGGGGTCCCTATGGGGTCCCTATGGGGTCGGGGGGTTTCTATAGGGTCGGGAGGGTCCCTATAGGGTCGGGGGTCATTTTGGGGTCCCTGTAGGTCCGGGGGGGTCCCTGTAGGTCCCTGTGGGTCCAGAGGGGTCCCTGTAGAGCAGGGGGTCCCTATGGGGTCCCTTATGGGGTCAGGGGGTCCCTGTAGAGCAGGGGGTCCCTATGGGGTCCCCTATAGGGTCGGGGGGTCCCTTTAGGTCCCTGTAGGTCCGGGGGGGTCCCTACAGATCTGGGGGGGTCCCTGTAGGTCCTTGTAGGTCCGGGAGGGTCCCTACAGGTCCGGGGGTGTCCCTGTGGGTCCAGGGGGGTCCCCATAGATCTGAGGGGTCCCTCTGGGGTCCCCTATAGAGCACGGGGTCCCTATGGGGTCCCTGTAGGTCCAGGGGGGTCCCTACAGATCTGGGGGGTCCCTGTAGGTCCGGGGGGGTCCCTATAGAGCAGGGGGTCTCCTATAGGTCAGGGGGGTTCCCTGTAGGTCCTTGTAGGTTCAGGGGGGTCCCTACAGAGTTGGGGGTCCCTATGGGGTCCCCTATAGGTCCGGGAGGGTCCCTGTAGGTCCCTGTAGGTCCGGGAGGGTCCCTATAGGTTCCTGTAGGGTCAGGGGGCCCTATGGGGTCCCTGTAGGTCCAGGGGGGTCCCTATAGGGCAGGGGGTCCCTGTGGGGTCCCCTATAGGTCAGGGGAGGTCCCTGTAGGTCCCTATAGGTCCAGGGGGTCCCCTATAGGGTCGGGAGGGTTCTATAGGTCCAGGGGGGTCCCCTATAGGGCAGGGAGTCCCTATGGGGTCCCCTATAGGGTCGGAGGGTCCCTGTAGGTCCTTGTAGGTCTGGGAGGGTCCTTATAGGTTCCTGTAGGGTCGGGGGGTCCCTGTAGGTCCCTGTAGGTCCAGGGGGTCCCTATAGAGCAGGGGGTCCCTATGGGGTCCCCTATAGGGCAGGGGGGGTCCCTTTAGGTCCCTGTAGGTCCCTGTAGGTCCCTACAGGTCTGGGGGGTCCCTACAGAGCAGGGGGGGTCCCTGTAGGTCCAGGGGGGTCCCTGTAGAGCAGGGGGTCCCCTATAGAGCAGGGGGTCCCTATGGGGTCCCTATGAGGTCTCTATAGGGCTGGAGGGTCCCTGAGCTGTTCTATGGGGTCCCTATAGGGTCAGGGGGTCCCTATAGGGCCGGAGGTCCCTATGGGGTCCCCTATAGGGTCGGGGGGCCCTATGGGGTCCCTGTAGGTCCAGGGGGGTCCCCTATAGGGTCCGGGGGTCCTCTCTAGGGTCAGGGGGTCTCTATGGGGTCCCTATGGGGTCAGGGAGGTCCCTGTAGAGCAGGGGGTCCCTATGGGGTCCCTGTGGGTCCAGGGGGTCCCTATAGGGTCAGGGGATCCCCTATAGGGTCGGGGGGTCCCTATGGGGTCCCCAGTAGGGTCGGGGAGTCCCCTATAGAGCAGGGGGTCCCTATGGGGTCTCTATAGGGCTGGAGGGTCCCTGAGCTGTTCTATGGGGTCCCTGTAGGGCCGGGGGTCCCTACGGGGTCCCCTATAGGGTCGGGGGGGGTCCCCATAGGTCCCTGTAGGTCCAGGGGGGTCCCTATAGAACTGGGGGTCCCTATGGGGTCCCTATGGGGTCCCTATGGGATCAGGGGGTCCTTATAGAGCAGGGGGTCCCTATGGGGTCCCCTATAGGGCAGGGGAGGTCTCTATAGGTCCCTATAGGTCCAGGGGTCCCTATAGGTCCGGGGGGGTCCCTGTAGAGCAGGAGGTCCCTATGGGGTCCCCTATAGGGTCAGGGGGTCCCCTATAGAGCAGGGGGTCCCTGTGGGGTCCCCTGTAGGTCCTGGGGGGTCCCTATAGGGTCGGGGGGTCCCTGTAGAGCAGGGGGTCCCTATGGGGTCCCCTATAGGGTCGGGGGTCCCTATGGGGTCCCTTATAGGTCCAGGGGGGTCCCTACAGATCTGGGGGGTCCCTACAGGTCCGGGGGGGTCCCTTTAGGTTCCTGTAGGTCCAGGGGGGTCCCTACAGATCTAGGGGGTCCCTGTAGGTCCAGGGGGGGTCCCTGTAGGTCCCTGTAGGTCCAGGGGGGTCCCTATAGGGTCGGGGGGCTCCCTACAGATCTGGGGGGTCCCTGTAGGTCCCTGTAGGTCCCCATAGAGCAGGGGGTCCTCTATAGGTCGAGGGCCCTATGGGGTCCCTGTAGGTCCAGGGGGTCCCTGTAGCGCTGGGGTCCCTCCTCCCCCCACAGACCCCCTTCCCCTCCCCTCCCCTCCTCCCCCTCCCTTTCACTTCTCCTTTCCCTTAACCCTTTTTTGTGTCTCCTCCCCTTCCCCTGTTTTGACCCTCCCCTCCCCTTTTTGGCCCCTCCCCCATTCCAGCCCCCGACCCCGCCCACGGCGCTGGCGCTGACGTCGTGCGGGGCCCAGAGCGCCCTACAGGGCCTGCCTGGCCCGGGGTACCTCCCCTCCCCGTCACCTTCTCCTGGAGCTGGACCGGCCCCTCCTGAGGAGCCTCTCCCCTTACCGGAAGTAGACGTCACCCGTTCCCGCCTCCTCACTTCCGGCAGCCGCCTGGAGCTTCCGGCGGGGGAGGGAGGGGCTGAGCTGCGTCGTGCGACCACGCCCCACCGGCACCTCCCAGAGCGTCCGGTTCGCAGGTGAGGGGAGGGGCTTGGGGGGAGTGGGGAGGGTCTTGGGTTGAGTTTTGGGGTCTTGGGTTGGGGTTTGGGGTCTTGGGTTGGGTCAATGTTGAGGTTTGGGGTCTTGGGTTGACTTTTGAGGTCTTGGAGGGTCTTGGGTTGATCCCAGTTGGGATTTGGGGTCTTGGGTTGATCCCAGTTGGGGTTTGGGGTCTTGGGTTGATCCCAGTTGGGGTCTGGGGTCTTGGGTTGATCCCAGTTGGGTTTTGGGGTCTTGGAGGGTCTTGGATCGACCCCAGTTGGGTTTTGGGGTCTTGGGTTGGGGTTTGGGGTCTTGGGTTGATCCCAGTTTGGGTTTGGGGTCTTGGAGGGTCTTGGGTTGAGTTTTGGGGTCTTGGGTTGATCCCAGTTGGGTTTTGAGGTCTTGGGTTGAGTTTTGGGGTCTTGGGTTGACCCCAGGTGGGTTTTGGGGTCTTTGGTTGAGTTTTGGGGTCTTGGAGGGTCTTGGGTTGGGTCAACGTTGAGTTTTGGGGTCTTGGGTTGACCCCAGTTGAGTTTCGGGGTCTTGGGTTGAGTTTTGGGGTCTTGGGTTGAGTTTTGGGGTCTTGAGTTGGGTTTTGGGGTCTTGGGTTGATCCCAGTTGGGTTTGGGGGTCTTGGGTTGGGATTTGGGGTCTCCAAGACCTTGGGTTGAGTTTTGGGGTCTTGGGTTGAGTTTTGGGGTCTTGGAGGGTCTTGGATTGACCCCAGTTGGGGTTTGGGGTCTTGGGTTGATCCCAGTTGGGTTTTGGGGTCTTGGGTTGGGTTTTGGGGTCTTGAGTTTGGTCAATGTTGGGTTTTGGGGTCTTGGAGGGTCTTGGATCAACCCCAGTTGGGTTTTGGGGTCTTGGGTTGGGGTTTGGGGTCTTGGGTTGAGTTTTGGGGTCTTGGAAGGTCTTGGGTTGAGTTTTGGGGTCTTTGATGACCTTAGGTTGACCCCAGTTGAGTTTTGGGGTCTTGGGTTGAGTTTTGGGGTCTTGAGTTTGGTCAATGTTGGGTTTTGGGGTCTTGGGTTGACCCCAGTTGGGTTTTGGGGTCTTGGGTTGGGGTTTGGGGTCTTGGGTTGAGTTTTGGGGTCTTGGAAGGTCTTGGATCGACCCCAGTTGGGTTTTGGGGTCTTGGGTTGGGGTTTGGGGTCTTGGAAGGTCTTGGGTTGAGTTTTGGGGTCTTGAGTTTGGTCAATGTTGGGTTTTGGGGTCTTGGAAGGCCTTGGGTTGAGTCAACGTTGACGTTTTGGGGTCTTGGGTTGACCCCAGTTGGGGTTTGGGGTCTTGGGTTGAGTTTTGGGGTCTTGGAAGGTCTTGGATCGACCCCAGTTGGGTTTTGGCGTCTTGGGTTGGGGTTTGGGGTCTTGGGTTGAGTTTTGGGGTCTTGAATTGATCCCAGTTGAGTTTCGGGGTCTTGGAGGGTCTTGGATTGACCCCAGTTGGGTTTTGGGGTCTTGGGTTGAGTTTTGGGGTCTTGGGTTGAGTTTTGGGGTCTTGGATCAACCCCAGTTGAGTTTTGGGGTCTTGGGTTGATCCCAGTTGAGTTTTGGGGTCTTGGAGGGTCTTGGGTTGAGTTTTGGGGTCTTGGGTTATCCCAGTTGGGGTTTGGGATCTTGGAGGGTCTTGGGTCGACCCCAGTTGATTTTTGGGGTCTTGGAGGGTCTTGGATTGAGCCCAGTTGGGGTCTGGGCTCTTTGGTTGACCCCAGTTGGGGTTTGGGGTCTTGGAGGGTCTTGGGTTGATCCCAGTTGAGTTTTGGGGTCTTGGGTTGATTTTTGGGGTCTTGGAAGGTCTTGGGTTGAGTTTTGGGGTCTTGGGTTGAGTTTTGGGGTCTTGGGTTGATCCCAATTGGATTTTGGGGTCTTGGAGGGTCTTGGGTTGATCCTAGTTGGGCTTTGGGGTCTTGGGTTGGGATTTGGGGTCTTGGGTTGAGTTTTGGGGTCTTGGAAGGTCTTGGATCGACCCCAGTTGGGTTTTGGGGTCTTGGGTTGAGTTTTGGGGTCTTGGGTTTATCCCAGTTGGGGTTTGGGGTCTTGGAGGGTCTTGGATCGACCCCAGTTGGGTTTTGGGGTCTTGAGTTGGGTCAATGTTGAGTTTTGGGGCCTTGGAGGGTCTTGGATCAACCCCAGTTGGGTTTTGGGGTCTTGGGTTGGGTTTTAGGGTCTTGGAGGGTCTTGGGTTGGGTCAATGTTGAGTTTTGGGGTCTTGGAGGGTCTTGGGTTGGGTTTTGGGGTCTTGGGTTGGGGTTTGGGGTCTTGGAGGGTCTTGGATTGAGTTTTGGGGTCTTGGGTTGACCCCAATTTGGTTTTGAGGTCTTGGAGGGTCTTGGGTTGATCCCAGTTGAGTTTTGGGGTCTTGGGTTGAGATTTGGGGTCTTTGATGACCTTGGGTTGACCCCAGTTGGGTTTTGAGGTCTTGGAGGGTCTTGGATTGACCCCAGTTGGGGTTTGGGGTCTTGGGTTGATCCCAGTTGAGTTTTGGCGTCTTGAGTTGGGTCAATGTTGAGGTTTTGGGGTCTTGGGTTGACCCCAGTTGGGTTTTGGGGTCTTGGTTGAGTTTTGGAGTCTTGGAAGGTCTTGGGTTGAGTTTTGGGGTCTTGGGTTGACCCCAGTTGGGTCTTGGGGTCTTGGGTTGAGTTTTGGGGTCTTGAATTGATCCCAGTTGAGTTTTGGGGTCTTGGGTTGATCCCAGTTGAGTTTTGGGGTCTTGGAGGGTCTTGGGTTGGGTCAACGTTGAGGTTTCGGGGTCTTGGGTTGGAGTTTGGGGGTCTTGGTTGAGATTTGGGGTCTTGAGTTTGGTCAATGTTGGGTTTTGGGGTCTTGGATCAACCCCAGTTGAGTTTTGGGGTCTTGGGTTGAGTTTTGGGGTCTTGGGTTGAGTTTTGGGGTCTTGGAGGGTCTTGGGTTGATCCCAGTTGGGGTTTGAGGTCTTGGGTTGATCCCAGTTGGGTTTTGGGGTCTTGAGTTGGGTCAAGGTTGGGTTTTGGGGCCTTGGGTTGATCCCAGTTGGGTTTTGGGGTCTTGGGTTGAGTTTTGGAGTCTTGGAAGGTCTTGGGTTGAGTTTTGGGGTCTTGGGTTGACCCCAGTTGGGTCTTGGGGTCTTGGGTTGAGTTTTGGGGTCTTGGGTTGAGTTTTGGGGTCTTGAATTGATCCCAGTTGAGTTTTGGGGTCTTGGGTTGATCCCAGTTGATTTTTGGGGTCTTGGAGGGTCTTGGATTGAGCCCAGTTGGGGTCTGGGGTCTTTGGTTGACCCCAGTTGGGGTTTGGGGTCTTGGAGGGTCTTGGGTTGATCCCAGTTGAGTTTTGGGGTCTTGGGTTGAGTTTTGGGGTCTTGAGTTGGGGGGGGAGTCTTGGGTTGGTGTTTGAGGTCTTGGGTTGATCCCAGTTGGGTTTTGAGGTCTTGGAGGGTCTTGGGTTGACCCCAGTTGAGTTTTGGGGTCTTGGGTTGAGTTTTGGGGTCTTGGAGGGTCTTGGATTGAGTTTTGGGGTCTTGGGTTGGGTTTTGGGGTCTTGGGTTGATCCCAGTTGAGTTTTGTGGTCTTGGAGGGTCTTGGCTTGGGTTTTGGGGTCTTGGAGGGTCTTGGTTCGACCCCAGTTGAGTTTTGAGGTCTTGGAGGGTCTTGGGTTGAGTTTTGGGGTCTTGGAAGGTCTTGGGTTGGGTTTTGGGGTCTTGGGTTGAGTTTTGGGGTCTTGGGTTTAGTTTTGGGGTCTTGGGTTGGGTTTTGGGGTCTCCAAGAGCCTCCAGTTGAGTTTTGGGGTCTCCAAGACCTTGGGTTGGGTTTTGGGGTCTTGGGTTGGGTTTTGGGGTCTTGGGTTGATCCCAGTTGAGTTTTGGGGTCTTGGAGGGTCTTGGAAGGTCTTGGGTTGAGTTTTGGGGTCTTGAGTTGGGTCAATGTTGAGTTTTGGGGTCTTGGAGGGTCTTGGATCAACCCCAGTTGGGTTTTGGGGTCTTGGGTTGAGTTTTGGGGTCTCCAAGACCTTGGGTTGACCCCAGTTGAGTTTTGGGGTCTTGGGTTGGAGTTTTGGGGTCTTGGGTTGGGTTTTGGGGTCTTGGAAGGTCTTGGATTGACCCCAGTTGGGTTTTGGGGTCTCCAAGAGCCTCCAGTTGAATTTTGAGGTCTCCAAGACCTTGGGTTGAGTTTTGGGGTCTCCAAGAACCTCCAGTTGAGTTTTGGGGTCTCCAACCCCCCGTAGGCTCCGCCCACTCCCCCAAGCTCCGCCCCCCGACGACCCCGGGGGTCTCCACCCAGGTAGGTTTTTGGGGGAGGGGAGGAATTTGGGTCTCCACCCCTCCCCACCCCCCAAAAATCCATTGACCTCCAGTAGGCTCCGCCCACTCGCCCCACCCACCCGGGTCGACCCCGGACGACCTGGGGCTCCTCCCTCCCCAGGAGGTCACCACAGGTAGGTTTGGAGGGGGGAGGGGTGGGGAGGGGAGGTCCCCAACCCCCCCCTTTTGGGGTCTCCAAGACCTTGGGTTGAGTTTTGGGGTCTTCAAGACTTTGGGTTGACCTTTGGGGGGGTCTCCAAGACCTTGGGTTGACCTTTGGGGTCTCCAAGACCTTGGCTTGACCTTTGGGGGTCTCCATTGACCTTGGGTTGACTTGGGGGGGTCTTCATTGACCTCCAGTTGACTTGGGGGGTCTCCAAGACCTTGAGTTGACCCCATGTTGAGTTTTGGGGGTCTCCAAGACCTTGGGTTAACTTGAGGGGTCTCCAAGACCTTGGGTTGGCTTGGGGGGGTCTCCAAGACCTTGGGTTGACCTTTGGGGTCTTCATTGACCTTGAGTTGACTTTGAGGACCTCCAAGACCTCCAGTTGACCCAACCTTGACCTTTGGGGTCTCCATTGACCTCGGGGTGACTTTGGGGGTCTCCATTGACCTTGTCTTGACTTGAGGGGTCTCCAAGACCTTGAGTTGACCCTGTGTTGAGTTTTGGGGTCTCCAAGAGCTTGGGTTGACTTTGAGGACCTCCAAGACCTCCAGTTGACTTTGGGGGTCTCCATTGACCTCCAGTTGACTTTGAGGACCTCCAAGACCTCCAGTTGACCCAACCTTGACCTTTGGGGTCTTCATTGACCTTGTCTTGACTTGGGGGATCTCCAAGACCTTGGCTTGACTTTTGAGGTCTTCATTGACCTTGTCTTGACTTGGGGGTCTCCATTGACCTCGAGTTGACTTTGAGGACCTCCAAGACCTCCAGTTGACCCAACCTTGACCTTTGGGGTGTCCAAGACCTGGGGTTGACCCCACATTGAGTTTTGGGGTCTCCAAGACCTTGGGTTGACTTGGGTGGTCTTCATTGACCTCCAGTTGACTTGGGGGAGTCTCCAAGACCTTGGGTTGACCTTTGGGGTCTTCATTGACCTCAAGACGATTTTTGGGGTCTCCAAGACCTTGGCTTGACCTTTGGGATCTTTGTTGACCTCCAGTTCACTTGAGGGGTCTCCAAGACCTTGGGTTGACCCCATGTTGAGTTTTGGGGTCTTCATTGACCTCCAGTTGACTTGAGGGGTCTCCAAGACCTTGGCTTGACTTTTGAGGTCTTCATTGACCTTGTCTTGACTTGGAGGGTCTCCAAGACCTTGGCTTGGCTTGGGGGGGTCTCCAAGACCTTGGGTTGACTTTGAGGACCTCCAAGACCTCCAGTTGACCCAACCTTGACCTTTGGGGTCTTCATTGACCTCAAGACGATTTTTGGGGTCTCCAAGACCTCCAGTTGACCCAACCTTGACTTTGAGGACCTCCAAGACCTCCAGTTGACCCAACCTTGACCTTTGGGGTCTCCAAGACCTTGGCTTGACTTTTGGGGTCTTCATTGACCTCGGGGTGATTTGGGGGGGTCTTCATTGACCTCAAGACAATTTTTGGGGTCTCCAAGACCTTGGGTTGACCCAACCTTGACTTCGAGGACCTCCAAGACCTCCAGTTGACTTGAGGGGTCTCCAAGACCTTGGCTTGACCCAACCTTGACCTTTGGGGTCTCCATTGACCTCAGGTTGACTTTGAGGACCTCCAAGACCTCCAATTGACCCAACCTTGACCTTTGAGGGTCTCCATTGACCTCAAGACGATTTTTGGGGTCTTCATTGACCTTGTCTTGACTTGAGGGGTCTCCAAGACCTTGGGTTGACCTTTGGGGTCTTCCTTGACCTTGTCTTGACTTGAGGGGTCTCCAAGACCTTGGGTTGACCCAACCTTGACTTTGAGGACCTCCAAGACCTCCAATTGACCCAACCTTGACCTTTGGGGTCTTCATTGACCTCCAGTTGACTTTGGGGGTCTTCATTGACCTCCAGTTGACTTGGAGGACCTCCAAGACCTCCAATTGACCCAACCTTGACCTTTGGGGTCTTCATTGACCTCAGACGATTTTTGGGGTCTCCAAGACCTCCAGTTGACCCAACCTTGACCTTTGGGGTCTCCAAGACCTTGGGTTGACCCAACCTTGACCTTTGAGGTCTCCATTGACCTCAAGACGATTTTTGGGGTCTTCATTGACCTTGTCTTGACCTTCGGGGTCTCCAAGACCTTGGCTTGACTTTGAGGACCTCCAAGACCTCCAGTTGACCCAACCTTGACCTTTGGGGTGTCCAAGACCTCGAGTTGACCCAACCTTGACCTTTGGGGTCTTCATTGACCTCCAGTTGACTTGAGGGTCTCCATTGACCTCCAGTTGACTTTGGGGGTCTTCATTGACCTCCAGTTGACTTGGAGGACCTCCAAGACCTCCAGTTGACCCAACCTTGACCTTTGGTGTCTCCAAGACCTTGGGTTGACCCAACTTTGACTTTGAGGACCTCCAAGACCTTGGGTTGACCCAACCTTGACCTTTGGGGTCTCCAAGACCTGGGGTTGACCCCACGTTGAGTTTTGGGGTCTCCAAGACCTTGGCTTGACTTTGAGGACCTCCAAGACCTCCAATTGACCCAACCTTGACCTTTATGTGTGGGTGGGTGGAGGTGACACCTCCCATGACCTCAAACTGACCTTTTGACCCACCCCCCACCCCTTTGATGACATCACAGCCCCCAAACCCCACCCCCCCACCGTCCACGTCTACCACGCCTGCGCCGCCGACCCCGAACGCGCCGAATCCTCGCCGTGGGTGGAGCTCCTGTGCTTGGCCACCTCCTTCGCCCCTCCCCCTCTCCACCTCACCTGGTTGGTCGATGGCCACGCCCTGGCCACGCCCTCCCCCGAGGTGGAACCGCCCACGCCGGACGTGACGACGCCGGGGACCTTCCGGGTCAGCTCCAGGGTCAACGTCACCTTCCAGGAGTGGAGGGACAGGAGGTTCTCCTGTCGGGTCGCCCACCCGGCCTCCGGCGACCTCCAGGAGGTTGAGGCCCACAAGTGTCTTGGTGAGTTTGGGGGGAGGGGATTTTTGGGGGGTTTTGGGTCAAAATTGGGGGTTTTGGGGGTTTTTGGATGGATGGGGTGGACCCAAGGTTGAGTTTGGGGGGTCTCGGTTGGCCTTGGGGTGATTTTGGGGGTCTGAGTTGGTCTTGGGTTGACTTGGACGGTCTTTGTTGGCCCAACCTTGACTTGTGGGGTCTCCATTGACTTGGGAGTCTCCAAGACCTTGGGTTGACCCAATCTTGACTTGGAGGTCCTCCAAGACCTTGGGTTGACCCAACCTTGACTTGGGGGGGGTCTCCATTGACCTTGGGTTGACTTGGGAAATCTCCATTGACCCAACCTTGACTTGGGGGATCTCCATTGACTTGGGGGTCTCCATTGACCCTGGGTTGACTTCATTGACCTTGGGTTGACTCCATTGACCCAACCTTGACCCTTGGTGTCTCCATTGACCTTGGGTTGACTTGAGGGGTCTCCATTGATCCAACCTTGACTCCTGATGCTTCCATTGACCTCGGGTTGACTCCACTGACCCTGGGTTGACTCCACTGACCCTGGGTTGACTCCATTGACCCTGGGTTGACTCCATTGACCTTGGGTTGACTCTTGATGTCTTCATTGACCTCCATTGACCTCGGGTTGACTCCATTGACCCTGAGTTGACTCCATTGACCCTGGGTTGACTCCATTGACCTTGGGTTGACTCCACTGACCCTGGGTTGACTCCATTGACCTTGAGTTGACTCCTGACATCTCCATTGACCTTGGGTTGTCTCCATTGACCCAACCTTGACTTGGGGGATCTCCATTGACCTCGGGTTGACTCCATTGACCCGACCTTGACTCCTGACCTCTCCATTGACCTTGAGTTGACTCCATTGACCTTGAGTTGACTCCTGACCTCTCCATCGACCTCCATTGACCTCCCACTGACTCTTGACATCTCCATTGACCTTGAGTTGACTCCACTGACCCTGGGTTGACTCCATTGACCCTGGGTTGACTCCTGACATCTCCATTGACCTCCATTGACCTCCATTGACCTCCATTGACCCTGATTGACCCTGGGTTGACTCCTGACATCTCCATTGACCTTGGGTTGACTCCTGACATCTCCATTGACCTTGGGTTGACTCCATTGACCCAATGTTGACTTGGGGGATCTCCATTGACCTTGGGTTGACTCCTGACCTCTCCATTGACCTCGGGTTGACTCCTGATGTCTCTGATGACTTCCACTGCCCTCCCACTGACTCCTGCCATCTCCCCCCCCTCCCTCCACAGGTGGCCCCTCCCCGCCGGGCTCCATCTCCATCTTCCTCCTCCCCCCCTCCCCCTCCTCCCTCTACATCTCCCAATCCCCCCACCTCCTCTGCCTGGCCGTCAATCTACCCAGCGACGACGGCCTGGCCGTCACCTGGACCCGCCGGGGCGGGGCCGATGACGTCACAGGGAAGCCCCCCGAGCCCCTCCCCCTCAAGTTGACCCCCCAGGCCAACGGCACCTTCACGGCTCGCAGCGAGCTGCCCGTCCGCGTCGCCGACTGGGAGGCCGGGGCCGTCTTCGGTTGCGCCGTGGCCCACGCCGAGCTGCCCGCCCCGCTGGCGCGCACCGTGGCCAGGCCACCCGGTGAGTTTGTTTTGGGGGGTTAATTGGGTTAATTAATTTAATTTATTTTTAGTTTAATCGGCGTCGGAAAAGTTTGGGGTGGAAAAGGGGGAAAATTGACCTGAAATCTACCCAAAATCAGCCTTTTTAGCCCCTCGTTTTCCCTTCCAAAATCTTGTTAATTGAGGGTTTAATCTTGGGGTTAATTGGGTTAATTAATTTAATTTAATTTCGGTTTAATCGACGCTGGAAAAGTTTGGGGTGGAGAGGAGTGAAAATTGCCCTGAAATCATCCCCAAAATCAGCCTTTTTAGCCCTCGTTTTCCCAAAATCGGCTCAAAATTGACCCAAAATTGATACAAAATTGGACCAAAATCGGACCAAAATTGGACCAAAATTGGCCAATTCACACCCAGTTTTTAGACCCAATTTACACCCATTTTTTAGACCCAATTTACACCCAGTTTAGAGCCAGTTTTTAGAGTCAATTTAGACCAAATTTACACCGAATTTACACCCAGTTTTTAGAGCCAATTTATACCAAATTTACACCCAGTTTAGACCCAGTTTAGACCCATTTTTTAGACCCAATTTAGACCCAATTTACACCCAATTTGCACCCAATTTAGACCTAGTTTTTAGACCTAATTTAGTCCCAATTTAGACCCAATTTACACCCATTTTTAATACCAAATTTACACCCAATTTAGACCCAATTTACACCCAATTTAGACCCAATTTACATCCAATTTACACCCAATTTACACCAAATTTAGACCCAGTTTTTACACCCAATTTAGTCCCAATTTAGACCCAATTTACACCCAATTTACACCCAGTTTTTAGACCCAATTTACACCCAATTTACACCCAATTTACACCCAATTTAGGTCCAGTTTTTAGACCCAATTTACACCCAATTTACACCCAATTTAGGTCCAATTTACACCCAATTTAGGACCCAATTTACACCCAGTTTTTAGACCCAATTTTGAACCCAGTTTAGACCCAATTTACGCCCATTTTAGAGCCAGTTTTTAGAGTCAATTTAGACCCAATTTAGACCAAATTTAGACCCAATTTACAATGAATTTCCACCCAATTTTGAACCCAGTTTAGACCCAATTTACACCCATTTTTTAGACCCAATTTATACCCAGTTTACACCCAGTTTAGACCCAGTTTAGACCCATTTTTTAGACCCAATTTAGACCCAATTTACACCCAATTTGCACCCAATTTAGACCTAGTTTTTAGACCTAATTTAGTCCCAATTTAGACCCAATTTATACCCTTTTTTTAGACCAAATTTCCACCAAATTTACACCCAATTTAGACCCAATTTACACCCAATTTAGTCCCAATTTACACCCAATTTAGTCCCAATTTACACCCAATTTAGACCCATTTTTACACCCAATTTAGTCCCAATTTAGACCCAATTTACACCCAATTTACACCCAATTTAGACCCAATTTACACCCAATTTATACCAAATTTATACCGAATTTACACCCAATTTTGAACCCAGTTTAGACCAAATTTACACCCAGTTTAGAGCCAGTTTTTAGAGCCAATTTAGAGCCAATTTACACCCAATTTAGAACCCAGTTTACACCCAATTTACACCCATTTTAGATCCAGTTTTTAGACGAAATTTATACCCAATTTACACCCAATTTAGACCCAGTTTAGACCGAATTTACACCCAATTTAGACCAAATTTACACCGAATTTACACCGAATTTATACCCAATTTACACCCAATTTAGACTTATTTTTTAGACCTAATTTAAACCCAATTTAGATCCAGTTTTTAGACCGAATTTACACCCAATTTAGACCCAATTTACACCCAATTTAGACCCAATTTACACCCAATTTACACCCAGGTTTTAGACCCATTTTAGACCCAGTTTAGACGGAATTTACACCCAATTTACACCCAATTTTGAACCCAGTTTAGACCCAATTTACACCCAATTTAGATCCAGTTTTTAGACCCAATTTACACCCAATTTAGACTTATTTTTTAGACCTAATTTAAACCCACTTTAGATCCAGTTTTTAGACCCAATTTATACCCAATTTGCACCCAGTTTAGAGCCAGTTTTTAGACCCAATTTAGGTCCATTTTAGACCCAATTTCCACTCAATTTACACCCATTTTAGGTCCAGTTTTTAGACCCAATTTAGACCCAGTTTAGACCAAATTTATACCAAATTTATACCAAATTTACACCGAATTTATACCAAATTTACACCCAATTTTGAACCCAGTTTAGACCCAGTTTACACCCAATTTACACCCAATTTAGACCCATTTTTTAGACCCAATTTAGACCTAATTTACATCCATTTTTTAGACCCGATTTACACCCAATTTACACCCAATTTAGACCAAATTTACACCCAATTTACATCGAATTTGCACCCAATTTTTACCCAATTTAGACCTATTTTTTAGACCCAATTTACACCCAATTTAGACCCAATTTACACCCAATTTACACCCAGTTTTTACACCAAATTTCCACCCAATTTAGGTCCAATTTTTACACCCAATTTCCACCCAATTTCCACCCAATTTAGGTCCATTTTAGACCCAATTTCCACCCAATTTACACTCAATTTACACCCAGTTTTTAGATCCAATTTACACCCAATTTACACCCAATTTAGGTCCATTTTAGACCAAATTTTCCCCCAATTTCCCCCGAATTTAACCCCTTTTTTTACCCCCTTTAATCCCAATTTACCCCTAATTTACAGCAATTTACCCCCTTTTAATCCCAATTTACCCCTAATTTACAGCAATTTACACCAATTTACCCCAATTTTTCCTCATTTTAACCGAATTTAACCCATTTTTCCCTGTTTTTCCATTCCAGGTCGCCGCCTCCCCCCCAGCATCTTCCCCCTGCCCCCCCCCCAGGCCGAACTCTCGGGCCCCTCCCCCACCCTGAGCCTCACCTGCCTCATCCGGGGCTTCTACCCCGAAAATTTGGAGGTCCAGTGGCAGAGGGGGGGTCAGACCCTCCTCGAGGGGGTCACCACCGGCCCCCCCATGCCGGAAAACCCCCGAAATGCCGGGAATTCCGCCCAAAACGGGGTGGGGGAGGGGCCGTTCTTCCTCTACTCCCGCCTCGAGGTGGCCTGGGGAGTGGGGGAGGGGCTGGGGAGGGGCCAGAGACCCCTCCCCACCTATTCGTGCACGGTGGTGCACGAGGCGCTGCCCCTGCGCTCGCCCAGCGGGCCCTCGGCCCCCAGCCCGGTAATTAACGCTAATTAACGATGATTGGTTAATTGGGGTTGATTTTCAGGGGGTTTTGGGGGTTTTTGGGATTTGGGGGTTTGGGGGATTTGGGGGTTTTGGGGGGTTGGAGGAGGGGAGGGTCAGTAGTGAAAGTTTTGTGATAATTATTGGGTTAATTATGGTAATTAGATGCTAATTAGGCTGATTGGGGATTTGGGGAGGATTTGGGGGGTTGAGGGGATTTGGGGGTTTGGGGGATTTGGGGATTTGAGGGATTTGGGGGTTTGGGGGTGTTGGAATAAACGTGGAGATGTCAAACTTAATGAATTTGTGTTAATTAGGGGTTAATTATGGTAATTAGAGGCTAATTGGGCTGATTAGGGGTGGTTGGGGGATTTGGGGGGTTTGGGGGATTTGGGGGTTTGGGGGATTTGGGGGATTTGGGGGTTTGGGGGATTTGGGGGGTTTGGGGGTTGGAATAAAGGTGGAGACTTCAAACTTAACGGATTCATGTTAATTAGGGGTTAATTATGTTAATTAGACGCTAATTAGGCTGATTTATGGTGAA